GAGTGAGGCCGGGATCGAGAGTCTAAGAGGAGTAGCGCGGAGATACGTGGCCTGAGTCAAGCGTTCGTTTTGCAAACTCAACAGGAAGAATCGCATTTGTGATTTCTAGAAAGCGGTAGTATTTTGTGAGAAGGGCATTGCATTATTTTATTTGTTTTGCAAGGGATTCTTTTTGGAGGTGGGAAAAAGTTTCAAGAATCCGACATGAGGAATTTTCCGAAACTTTGCAACCTTTGTTACTTTAGCAGTAACATAAGGTAATATATTTTGAGTCTCTTTCCCATCAGTGCACTTGGAGATTCAAAATTCCCTCTATTTCGGAAAACGAGAAGAGCGTCGAGTGCAGACCACACACCACAAGTGACGACGGCCAAAAAAGTGGCTTTTTTCTTTTTCTTGGCCGTCGTCACTTGTGGTGTGTGGTCTGCACTCGACGCTCTTCTCGTTTTCCGAATAGGGGTAGGTCGTAGTTGTAGAATGGGGCATGCTCCCGAAACTCCCCTCCATGTAATACCTGACCCTGGCCATTACTTTTTGAAGAATATGAACAATGGCTAGTAGGGTGAGAGTAAGCCTGATATGTTCGAAAGCACTCAATTCATGAATTTCATAGAAGGGGAAACATCCCGTAAGCGACAGGGTGAAGACCTTAAAATAGTCGAGATGATAGAAAAGAAATGACTGACGACCTAAAGCGAAAGTTATGAAAAAAGCGAGTTGGGGTTTCACAGACAACACAGATAGTGTTAGAGCATCAATACTCACTCTTTCAACTGATTGAGATCCCGTTCATCACGTTCGCCGACCCCACTTATAAGGAACTCCAAATTGTTCAGATCGCTGTATGTGGTGAGAGAGAGCATCATTCTAAAATATTGCTCATGAGTACGGTGGTCCTTTTCAACCACTTTTGGACAGCAGATGAAGAATAAGCGCGGCTCAAAATCCCGTATTTTTTTGCGCTAATTATAGAGGAGGGAGAGGAGAAAGGCAAAAGTGTCGCTCTGCTCGTGACGCGCACCAGCAAAGTTCACTTCTCACAGGGACGAGCAGGATGGGAGTCCTACAGCAGAATATATTGTTATGCCCTTTGTAAAGTCGAGCTCTCGTCCATTCATCCTACCCTTGTGAAAGTGTAAAGCCATTCGCAATCATCGAAGAGCTCAAGGAGGCAGATCGTCGTTGCTTCAGTCAGGGGCAGCAGTGTAGAGCGATGTGCAATAAGGATAAAGCCGGCAATAGACGGCTTCCTAGAGATCGTTACTGCATGCGCAAGACTAGCACCAACCTGCAGTTCAAACAATTCGCTAAGACCTTCGATCACAGTTCACTGCTGTTCCGAAAGGTAGACAATCCGTCGCTGGATATTTGTAGAGTAGGAAGACTGGTCTAGTGTTTGTGGGATCTAGACTAAAGGCAAACCCTGAATAGTACACCTATCACATTGTCTGCGACTTTTTGTGCCAGCCGCAATGTTGTGATAACCGCACGTTTTGAAGGCAGG